GTGTGTGTGTACATGTGGGTGTGTGGGGGGTGGGGGTGGGTGTGGGGGGTGTACATAATAATAATTATGTGTATATGGCACGCACAGCATATTTATCTGTGTTTGTGTGTATGTTCTTAATACTATTATTAGTATTTCATGATAAAAGAGTGTTTCATGAAAAATCCAGATGTGCCTAAAATGAATTATATCATATCTAATAGTAACGAGCTCTTTGGTACAAACACAGAGCACTTTAAATTTTTACAATCGGACAATAAACAGCAGAGATATGAATTTTTGAAATCTGAAAATTTGATTGCTTTCGTAGAAATAAAACAAAAGGCTTATATAGATTATAATGGCACCAGTTTATAAGCAAAAATAAAAAATAAGAGAGAAGCCGTTTTAGAGATATCGCTATGGAAAGGGGGAAACTTGGTGTTTTGTCCGATTTCAGCTTTATCAGTATTAGTAACAGCGAAAAGAAGTCGCATCTCTCGCAAATATATGCCGCTACCCGCTAGAATTACGAAGGTCTATAAATGCGTAATGGCTAGTTTTGAGAAATTTGACGTCAAAAACTTTGAGTCTCACAATATTATGTCAAGGGTTTTTTTCGAATGCAATTTTTTGACTATCTTGAAAACGACTCCGAATAATCCTACGATTTTGATACAGCTGATAGAATATGATTTGGTTTCTGATCTCACACTCTTAGTAACTAAAAATGGCCAAAAATGTCAGACAGAACTTTGAAATTCTAAGAGGCAGCGAGGCGTTCGTGACTCATAAAGCTGCCCATCTTGATGAAGTTCGGGACGCGAAGGTGGGGAGGATGAGGAAGAGGAGGAGGAGCAGGAGTGTGGGGGTGAGAGGACGTGGGGGGGGTGGTAGAATAACATAATCATAAGAGGATAATGATAATTATAATTATTATCAGCACCAATCCTCTTCAGGTACAAGCGACAACGACCACGACTTTGGGAAGGAAGGCCAGACAGGCGCCCGTCATCCCGACTTCATTCCGACGTCATTCCGACAGCACGGGGAGATAAAACCTGCCTCAATATCAGCTACAACAACAACATTTCTGACCAGACCTTGGGAGGTTCAGCGGGGGATATTTTTTTGGTGTCTTTTCTTTCTTTTCTTTTCTTTTCTTTTCTTTTTTTG